ACTATTTTAATGAAGAAAGATTGGTTGGGTAACAGGATCTTTTTTTTTCTTTCATGTCGTTTTGTGTTGGCTCGGAAATTTGGTTGTTGCAATGTTGTTTATTTTTTTAAATATATATCTTATACGTCTGATGGTTTTTGAAATAGTAATATTATCAACAAGAAGAAACTACTTTTCGAGCCCTGAAGAAGTTAAGAAAAATTAATCCTGTTACCTAACCTTTCATCAGAAAAATATTTATATCTCACATTCGACAGGTTGCTTTAACTGAAAACCAAGTTACAAACCACAAAGGATATTGGTTACAAAATTACTCTCGTTTAATATTTGTCGATCATATTGTTTTACTCTCTGATATCATGCCCTACAAATTCTCATTTATTTCAGGTGCCAATCTGATTCTAGCTATAAGGAATGCTGAAAAGGGAGCAAAAGCTTTGGATGATATAAAAATGATCAAAAGTGACGCCAATGTAATTATTAAAATATTGGATGTATCAGATTTTTGTAGCATCCGTAACTTTGTTGAACAATTAAAAAACGAATACGACAAAATTGACATTCTAATCAACAATGCTGGAACTATTTGCCAACCACCCAGAAAAACTGCTGAAGGAAATGAGCTTACTTATGTCACTAATTATTTAGGTATGCTGTTTCGAATGAAATTTGCTTGGAAAAAAGTCTATTTTTGTCGTTATACACTAATATAAAAACAGTGATGAATGAAGAAAAATTAACAACCTAAATTTCTCTAGAAAAGGTGTATGCAAAGATTTTTCTATGGGAAGAAACCTCATGGATATTAAATTAACCAGAAATCAGTTTTGCTTTCTGTTTGTACATAGATAATACTTATGGGGATTGATCTACAATGCACTAACATGCAATATATCATGTCTGTGTAATAAAATATCCATAATAGGAAGTATTTTTTCAGATGGACCCTGTAATAATAATAATAATGAGAGTACTCTATTTCAACCTTCAGCACTCCTACGGTATTGACGAGACACCTTATGCTCCGGAGAATATTGAATCCGTTGTGGGCAATGATAAGTGCTGAATTTATTGTAACTATTGATTTCTCACCCTCAAACTAATAAGCCTGATGTAGTCTTGCTCGATCATCAAAGTAGAAATCAGAAATGTTGAAATTAAAAATAAAATAATCTTGCATAATTCTCTGATTTGTGAGCAAACCGAATCTGTTCTATTGAGAAACATAGACAAGCGGATAAGCGCTTCAACATAGTGTATCACGAAATTTCGGGCTAGCTTGAAGTTGGCCGTATGTATGGAATTTTACCATACAGTTTTCAGATTACCAAAAGATTTCTGGGTGAGTTAATTCACATGTTTTTTGAATCAGAATCACAGATAAATGTCGAATTTTTTACAGAATCTATCACATTTTTGATCAAAGACATGATTAATTTGTGATCCACCATATGTCAAAGAATTTTATGATTAACAGATGAAGGCTTTAGATAATTTGGGACAACTCAATATACAAGTAAACAATAAGTTAATTAGTTCTAGATATTTGTATAATCTTACAAGTTGCTTACTTCGAAAGTTGTATTTTTTTATTTGTACACAGATCAAATAATCTGCTTTGATTACTTGTATATATTTTACATATTCAATGACGCCACCACAACTTAAGTAAGTCTTTAGCAGTAAATTATATTGTGAAGAAGCTATCAGAAGAAAAATGTTATAATTAACATTTCATAATGAGTCCATGTACTAGAAAAAAAGAAATTAAATTCAAAATAAATTCTCAACAGAAATGTATAGATCATGCATAGAAATTACTTTCAGATATAAACTGGAACAAAAAGCCCCCCTGAAACAACTACCTTCTTGAGAACATTGAATTACACAAATGAAAAAGTAGTACTTGGAAACAACTACTTTCATATGAACATTGAATTATATTTTTCCATTCAGTTTGTACTCCAAACATTCGTTATGGAATTGAAATACCATTCATAGGAAAGCTACACAATATAATATATGAAAAAGTTACGATATAAAATTTCACTTGCATGAAACACTCCTCGAAATTTTGGAATAGAATACTTGTCTTATCAACTCATCAGCACCGTTCTGGATAATATTACAAGATGAAGCACTCATTTCATTCACAACATTACCACTTTATATCGCAGTTGAGACAAGTCTACTCAAGTCACAATGATAGTACGTAAAGGATTATTTGATTAAATCCCAGCCATAGGAATCTTGTTTGAAATGAAAGGGATATATTTTTAAGAGAGATTAGTTTTCAAGACAAAAAGCTTTCTGGCTTCCACTCTATACAAAAAATTGTGGGAAACTTCCAAAGGAAGGAAAAAAGCAATCAAATTATGTATAGAATTTACCTTCAAGTACGAACTGGACAAAAAAAACACTCCCGAAACATCTATCTCCATATGAACATTGAATTATATGAAAAAAAAAGTGCTTTTGAAACAACTACATTCATATGACTCATAGGGAAATCACTTTTTCCTCTTTGATCTCCAAATATTTGCCATGGAATTGAAACAGTTATCATTCATTAGAAAACTAGACAATATGATGAATGAAAGAGTGTTGTTTCCAACACCCCATCAGCACCTATTTGAACTTTTGAAGATGATAACAAATGCATTTCTTGCACAACATTACCACTTTGTCACTGGATGAGACAAATCTGCTCATGTTATAATGACAGTAGGTACGTAAGACAGTATTATAATAATTGGATTTCAATCCCGGCCATAGAAACTTTGAATTGGAAGAGAAAATATTTTCAGATTTGTTTTTGGAAAAAACTTTTTGACTTCAAGAGTGTATACATTCTATTGGTTTAATATTCTTGGATCATAGTATTTTGATTTGAGTGACATCCATTTTCTAATGAAACTTATTTTCAGGTCCCTTTCTTTTGACCCACCTCCTCCTCCCGTTACTCAGTAAATCCGATAATGGAAGAGTCATCAACGTGTCAGCCTTAGCCCACTATAATGGTAAACTGAATATAGATACTGCAAATATTGGAGAGTATAACGGAAATGACGCATTTGCTGGAAGCAAACTAGCTTTGACCTTGTTCACCAAGCATATGGCACAACTCTATAAGGGTAAGTGTAGAAACTTTCCAAAGATATCTTTGAAAAAAATCGGAGGTCATCTGTAATTTATGAACATCAAATAGTTATTGAGGCTCCCAAATTGAAATTGGTATGTTTATATCTTTTATTTATACCATCTTTTTGAGTTGTCATGTGGAAGAAATTGAAAGATTCCAATAGTTTGACAGAATAACAAAGAGCTTTTTTCAACATACCGTTGATTGCTACCTCAATTACACCATCTACGACATTCTATTCATTAGATTACAATTAATGAATATTCCTAGTTCAAAGTAGAATGTAAAAAATTAAGGCTATACAAAAGTTATGGAGAAGTTTGTAAATAATTATCAGTGTGTTGAGGATTATAGCTTGTTTTATACTTGGATTTTTTCTAGAATCTGTTTTATAGGATAAGGTATGTCCGAAGTATGGATCTATTCGACTCTTCACATACAATAAGCCCGCAAGGGCTTATTGTATTTATTTATTCATTATTCAAATCTTATTGATTTTCAATGTCAAATGAAATCTTTGAATAGCATTCTCTCTTTTTTTTTCAAATATAGATAAATAGTTGATATTTAATTTTTTTTTAATAATTAACAAGTTGCTCTTTTGTGAATTCCAATTTTTCATATAGTAGTACTATTAGGCCGAATTTCTTGGCAATTCGTTGTGGTGTGGTAATTTTTTTTCAATTGGGACAGGCAACTATAATTTCCATGAAGTGAGAAATTGTCCATCCATCTCCATATGACAAGTTCCTATTCATCATTATCAGACTGTCACAATTGTCAAATTTGTTTTTTTTATTTGGTTAATATAATTTTTTTTATCTCAATCTTTTAGGAAATGCATTTTATTCTGTTGATGAATTTCTACATTACTGAATACTATTATTTTATTTATATTTAATCTGAACATGAAGATGAATACATTTCTATTCTATTCAGTCAATACATCTACAGTTGGAAAGATGAAAGAATAAATATGCATCATCAATTTGTGAATCCAATGTAAGTCCACAAACTAGCAAAAACTAATGAAAATGAAATGAAGTAGCTACTGCTATGAACAATCTAACCTGTCAATAACTTTGTCACTGGTAGAACCTTCGCCAATCAGGACCAGGCAAAAACAGTCTTCGACTCCATCGAATCCCGAGCACATAATTTTTATGCTGACTAAATTAATTGACTTAAGTCACGTTGGCGAAAGTGCACTTATTCAAATGGCGCTAATTTTGATGAAATTGAACACGTATTCACTGGGACGCCAGACAAAACTTTTCAAACACCCTAAAACTTTTTAAACACCCTAATAGTGAAACATCGACAACTGGTCTGAAAATCAAAATTACCGACGGACTTAGGTTTATATAACTATGCAATCAGAGTGAGCTATTCTGCTCTCTGTCTCTTTCTCTCTAATAAAATCAAATGTTAACTATATTGTCTTTCTTTTTCACTTGTAGAAGAAAAGGGTGCTATATAAAAGTATGTGTTTTATCTCTAATTTTATTGATGCCGCATGTGTATTCTTTCGTGGTCCCAATGAAATAATGATAACTTGTTGATAAAATCGCTAATAAGTATTTTATCAACTATTGGAATGGCATCAGTTTAACACTAAAATTATTTGAAATCAATTTTGAAATAAAAGGTACCAGAAACCAACTTACAGAGATAAGGAATATTATTGGCATTATAATTCAATATCTGTGGATATTGTAAGGACTATTATAATCTTATCTTCTTACAGATACCAACATAACATTCAATTCAGTCAGCCCTGGCTTGGTGAGAAATACCGGACACCTTGCAAATTACTCTACACTGGAAAATTCATTGCTAACGAAATTATCAGTGTGGCCTTGGGTATGGTTGTTTTTAAAAAATCCCAAACAAGGTTGCCAATCGATCGTCTACCTAGCTGTTGAACCTACTCTGCACAAAGTTTCAGGTTGCTACTTCAGGTAATAGTTTTATAATTTTCAAGTGTAGCAAGAATATTGTACGGACTTTATCATCAATTTTGATTTATTTTCAGTGACTGTGAAATCAAGGATCCAGCTGATGTGGTAAATGACTCGAACATAGCAAAAACTCTTTACGAAAAATCCTGCAAGATTGTTAATATTGATCCAAAAACTATTTCGGTATCTACTAGGAATGAGGCTACGAAAGTAGAGGGATAATATTGTTCTGTATGATCAGTTCTTTCCACAAATATATAAAACTTTTCGATTTATATAGATTTATTTCAAATACATTATTTGGGGCTCACTCTAGTCCATTTCTCACTTGTTGCCCACAACCATTTAGCATCGCTTTCATTAGTAGCATTTTCACCCACGTTGCTTTCTTCGTAATTACTGAAAACATCACAAAAATATTAAGTGTACAACAAGCTATTTCATTGAGGCCCACTCTGTTTATTATTTGCGAATTTCCGTTACTCACCTAAAATATTTTCCAGTCACTTTTTCTACAGTTTTATCGATAGCTAAGAATATTGTACTCTGTGCCCCTTGCTTGGGACTCTTGACGAAAGGCCATGCTAACGGTTTGACAAATATGGTAGCTAACCAGCTATTGTAAAAACTCATATGCCTCGTTATTTCTGTATCTACTATTCCAGGGTGGACACAGTTTGCAGTGACACCCGTACCTAAATGAAAAAAAAATTGAAGCTACTTTCATGATTATGAGGGTATATAACAAATGGAATATTGAACTCAGGTATTAAAATAAATGTAGCCCATAATCATCTATATATAAAAAAATGTAATGCACTGTTTGGAACCTTCGGTGTAGTACATAATGAATATTACTGGAGTCTTCAAGAGGAAGATTAAAAAAAAAATGTGTTTGTTTGCATCACAAGCTGACTACGTGACACTAATATAGGTCTCTAAGGTATGAAATTTGTTTCTGGGAAAGTATCTCGCAAATTGTGATGAAAGCAGTATGTGTTTTAAAAGAAAGCCCTTAGATAAGACTACGACGAAACCTAAATGAAGTTGTAAACTCTTATTTATTTCTTATGTGCTAACGCATTGAATGGAACTAATGAAATCATTTCTGGAGAAAAATAATATATCTATCAACTTTCTCTTTTGATTCAAGGCCAAAATCCTAAACTCATTTTTAAATGAGGTTGTCTCTATTACGGAATAATCCGGCCATTGAAGATATTTTGTCAAATATGAAAATCTGAAAAATTTATTTGGTTCTTTTTTAATTTATTTCAAAATTATGACATGTTCTCCCAATCAAATTACTGAATCAAATTCAAGCTTGGTCGACAACCTTTTAACAAAGAGGTGCCCATGTGCAATTTTGAACAAAGCCAAAGTGCCACTATAAAAAACTGTATGATTTTCATACAAAAATTGTTAGAAGTAATGAGGAAGGTAACTACATGAAACGTTTTCAGTGTGATCCTTGTCCTTGTGTTTCTCGCGAAAGCTTTTGTATTTCGGGTTCTTGTTTGGTTAATTTTAATACTAGCCGGCTTCGATATGGATTTAAAATGATTTTCATATGGGAAAAACTTGCTCACATATATAGGACGGTGTGAATGCCGAAAGCATTGCAAATGCCACTTTTTTTTAGGCAAATAAATTAATCTGGCAAACTAGCCCAACAATTCAGTATTTTGTTTGATTTATTCCGAGGAACACCTTCTAATAATCTTCTCAGTTCCACAAATTTTGTCTTCTTGGAGTTCCTGAATTCAATATGCTGGTTTTATCAAGAAGAACATGTGACCATGTTTATCAAAATTTTGACCTCTTTCAGCAAATTCTTCTTTCAGTGAAGTCATGTAGTTTAATATTTTCTAATTGAATGCAGCATTATCACAATTATTAAGGTTGGGTACGTATGATTTTAGATTTCGAAAGAATTTATATGTATGGGAGGCGATATTGCAAATAAATACATTTATTTCCATTTTAAAGGACTTCCTTGACTAGTTTTTGTAAAGAATGTTGTCTGCTTTATATGCTGAGCAACTGCTCTTCAGATTGTCTCCGTTCTATCAGCATTATATTTGAACCCTGATTCAAGTCTCTTATGTAAATATCGTTAACACTAGATGTCCGGAAAACTACGGTTTCCCATTCGAAACATCCGATTTTACCTTTTTATATTCATTGTTATATAGCACTGTTACATTAATGTGTATTGGAAAGGGAAAGTGTACCCTCTTAGATATAAATAGAAACCAGTTTTGGAATTAGGAATTAATTTTTTTCATCTACTGAAGAAGCCAACTTGGTTGGTGAAACGTGTGTCAAGAAGATTGGTGATTGGAAAAAGTGATTTTTTTGGATTTGAATGATGATAATAATAATATGTAGATACGTAGATATTGAACAAGTCACATAAGTATGTAAAAAGAGTACTTTCCAAAATAGATGTAAAATAATATCAAAATTATAAAGAAGCAAATTGGTAGTATCTGGTGTATAAAGTGCGTGTATAGATATAAATAAATTATATAACATTAAGACTAGATAAAGATTTCGTTAAAAAAAAATTCAGTCTACATGAGGAAGTCCATATGAGCATTTTTCTGAGTTTTAATTTAAAGTAACAAATGGGTAGTGATTTCAGAGTAGGAGGTTAGGTGGTTGTACGGAATATTATTGGCATTATCATTNGTTATTTGAAGAGTATGGTTCAGAATGATTTCGTGTATTTTCCTTCATGGAATATGGATTATCTGGGCTTGGTGCTTTCTATCATGTGCAAAGCAAGCTACTTCCAGTATATACAGGTTGATCACTGTTAAAATGCATAGGCATTTAAAAAGTGGTTTTCATGGTTCGAGATAATGAGAAGAGGTCATACATCTAATTATCCGTTTTTGGGCATTCAATATATTGTTCACCGCAGATAAAGTCTAACACAACGAGAAACATAATCACAGCCGGGACTCAATTTCACTGTGATAGACATAGTTATTAAGTCATTTGAAAATCTGTTTATAACCTGTTTAAAATCTGTTTTTCCGTTAATCAGCTGTCGCCCCCATACGAACAACACCTCTCAGAAGTTGGGAAACTTGTGCGAGCTGAGGACTAACAAGGTCTTACCTTTTAACAAGTAATTCCTAACACGGTTGCAGAATCATCCCAGCTTCAACCAGATAAATATCTGGTCGAGGCGGGAATCGAACCCACGGCCTTCCGATCTTGAGTCGGGCGCACAACCGCCGCGGCCAATTCCACAAATTATCTAAAAGTTTTCTCTAAGATAAAATTTTTGACCCAGAGTAGATATTAGCTTAGAGCAGTGGACTGCCCATTTTAGGTTAGGTTAGGTCCAAAGTGGGTGGGTCTATTCGGAAAGGGTTTATTGTGGCTCACACCTATTCACACTCGGCCAAATAAACCCAGCTTCTTAATGAAGCCGATTAGTTTGTATGGTGAGTGGTCAAATGGTAAGAGTACAGCTCTAACTCTTAAGACCTGATTCGGTCCCCAGCGGGACAGGTACAAAGTATATGCTCTGTTAATGAGGTAGTCGGATAGTCAAGTTGCAAGAATCCCACCTTGATACCCACGACAACCTTCCCCTATGAGGGTTTTTGCACGTCAGATACACCTGACGATGCCTTAGATTCAGCCGTGCAGGGCTTTTTCGCCTTTGGATTTGGTGAATCATCACTTGAACACAAACGTTTGCTAACCTGCTCATGGGGGGGGGTTGTTCCCCCACCTGAGCCCATTTCAGGTGCTCTGGTTCTATAATTATTCTATATGTTTATTGAGAGATTTTCACTCAACAGTTTATGCCTGAAGGAGCTATTGTATAGTTAAACATGTGTCAAGGTTTTGTAAACGGTTAGTGAAAATCTCGCTCACAATAAAGGATTATTTCAATAGGTTGTGAAACATTTTCATCACTAGACAGTAACATCACGTAACTTTTACTTAGATAACATTCAAATCATATAATAGACTTGTAAATAAATTTTTCTTTGGTGGAAATGTTCTTGGAAGCAAAAAATTGTGACTCGTCTCATACCATACTGGCTGAACTAAACCCACAAGTTTTCAGTACTATTGATTCCGAATAAACCTAAAGTCTATCCAAATCCAAGAGAGTAAAACAAAACCGAAGCGTGATTTTCACGTGATCGCCCAGTGTCAGATGGAAAGGGCAGCGTTCATTGGTGAATTCGCCTTCTTGGTACGAGTTCGGTACCAGCACAGGGTTGTAATCAGTCGTTTGTGTGTTTGTGTGGCGTGCGTCATAGTATATAATGTTTACATCCACTCTATCTTGGATTTGAATTTGCTTTAGTTGATGTAAACTCTCTTCTACATTATTTCCCTATGAGAGTTTAGAAAATGATAAAATTTCTTTGTGTTCAAATACTAAATAAATAAATAATAAATAAGTCTTTTTGTTATTAGGATGGACTTTGCCAAACCATCTTTTTCAATTTTCTTATTTTATTTGCAATAGGATTCATAAACTGGAAATCTTGATTTATCCCCAATAAATATCACTCTATAAATTCGTTTTTGAAGTTTTTTCTGTAGAACCTTAATGTTGAAAATACACATTAAACATATCTACAATGGTATTTTCAGAGATGATTGGCAGTGATAGTTACGACCTCCCGTCATATTGCAGAAAATGCCCATCAAAACGGATGTAACGTTCGGAGGGCTTCCCTGCCCAGATAAACAAAGTTACAAATACACTTTACTATTTCCAGACTTACGAAATCATTCAAAACTCTAGAGCCATACTCCAGTCTCAATAATTTTAACCAAAGTTCATTTATTCTGTGGCTATTCTCTAAGGCTTGCGTTACACATCTCCAATCTGTGAAAAGTGATATGTCTGGCTTTTCCCTTCGAAATCTTGAAATACTCCTATAAATTACCTTCAAGTCTCCTGGCAAGTTCTTTAGTGAACAGTACATTGGCTAATTTACTTTGAGCATAGGCACCATAAGAGTCATAGTTTCGGTCACTATTCAAATCATCCTTTTGCAACTTTCCCGACTTATGAGCCACGCTTGTCACATTGATTATCCTACTTGGTGCCGATTCCTAAAACAAGAGATTAGAATATTATTAGTACTGAGAAGAGATTTTGTTAAAAATGATTTGGAAAACATACTTTGATATCTTTATTCAATTTCAAGTATTAATTTATTTATTAAACATAACACCTTCCAAAAGAATATATTTCTGGTCAAGTTCACATCTGAGTAGTAAAAAGAAATAGTTGTTTGAAAATATTAAAATTAATTGAAACTGC